TCCTATACACTCCCCCTACACCCCATTCGAACCCCAAAGAGATAAGAAAGCCAAAAGAATCCACACAACTCAAAAGAGAAGGAAGAAAGAAGCTGGCCGCAGATTCGTTTTCCAGTAGATAGGGTTGCTTGTTTGATCCATAACTTGAGATTCACTCGTCCAAATAAGGCGTGTGAGATACCAAAAGAAACCTCTCAAGATGAGGAATCCGTGAAGGTCTGGTTTGCATCAATCGGAGTAGTGGAAGACTTCCAAATCGTCCGAGCAAAACACAACCTCGCAGAAACGGATTTACTCTCCCAAAGTGAGTGTTAACCCCAAAAACTTTACTTTTCGTTTTCCAAATGATATGAACGATTGGTGGAACTATTATACACTAATCCAAGTGTATAATATGTCCTCATAAGGTTATTTTATTGATGTAAAGGTTAGATACTAACCTAGATCAAATCTTAAAAAACTAGGAAACGAGTTAGCCGGAAAACATCCATTCTAGGGGCTGTTTTCGTATCAACGATTAGGGGTTGAACTATCACTTGAGGAGGCTGTTTAACACTCATTTCCAAGCAAGGAATCAGTTCTCAAGCTTCCTTGGCCGAGGCTTTGGTCATTGGATCGAGAAGGAGAGTTTTAAAGCTCATTTGAGGTGAGGATCGACATCTAGTTGCTTACAACTTGTAGGTTAAGCATGAGATTACCTAAATGCCTAAATCATGTTTTCCATGGATTATGATGATAAATTATTGATGGAATATTGATCTATTTTCCAAAGAATGAAATGGGAAATGATTTGGTAAAGTATTGATAAAAATGGAGTTAAATGAACTATTGTGTGAGATAGGTAATTTACTCATGTGTAAATTGTGTAGATACATAAATGATTATTTATGTATTACATTGGATGATTAAGTTGCTGCTACATATCTCTAAATATGTGGGGTTTTACAAGTGGAATATATGATGGATAAGAATAATCTTAATAGTATTGAAATACTAGTTAATGATTGTTGTAATTGTTAAGGAATTGAATCTAAGGATTTGATTGTGATTGATGTACTTGATTGTGATGCAAGTGACTAAATTGATGTAATGTGATGCTAAGATCATGGTTGGGCAGTCCGTAAGGATGTCCCCAAATAGATTATTGATATTACAATTCTAGGCATAGCGAGCGCTTAGGAATTGGGGTCTATGCCAATGTAAGGAGATGTACTTGAGCCTTTGCTCATAGAATTGCATTGGGTAGACATGATGTGGTGATTGATGTGCATGGTGATGTAGTTGAGTTGGACTCAAGAAATGCACGGTGAAGTAATTAACTTGTGTTAAACAAGGTGCATGGTGATGTAGTCGAGTTGGACTCGAGAAATGCAACCATATGTGTTAGGGTTGAACCCTATGTATTGTTGTGACTAGGGGTCACGGGGTTTGGGCTATGTTTGGTAACAAACTTTGGGCCTACGGGCCGACTACTTGACTTTATATATAAGTAAGTATATTTTGAAAAGGGGTAACTAGGGGTTACGGCCTAGATTATATTATCACCCTATTTGAGGGTCTTGTGTTTGAAATACTTGTTGTATATCTATTAGATGCCATCCACACCAGCACTTTATATCCCTATAGAGTGCTGACCCCTTCGGGGGCGTCCCACTACCATTTTTCAGGTTGAGGCTAGAGCTTGCTTCCTGTGCTCGTTGCTCGAGAGATCATCTAGGAGGGAAGACTTGGTTCGTGCTCCCTCCATTCTGTTTTTTAAACATTAATAAACATGCTCATGAATATTTTACTATAGAGCCTGCGTGCTCATGTTTGCCACGTGTGGCACTTGTTTTCAAACTATGTTTTCCGCTACGTATTCGCTTGCTTATTATGTTGTTTATGGATGGCTTACGGGTGAATGATATTCGAGACGCCTTGTATTATATGGATGTGCTTGACTGTGGTTGACTATTCGTATTGTACAGCGGGTTGTTGACGTGTCCGGGCAGGTCCGGGACGTGACAGCTTGACTGAGTCTGGGTTCTTCATCAGGAGTATTTCATCCATCGTTTTCCAGAATTCTTCCCCTTGCTTGTTTCTTTTGAAGATCATATAGTTTTTGTATCAAAAAATTTGTAAAAAATCAAGAACACGTGAATCTTTTTGATCTTTTCCCACAGACGGCGCCAATGTTGAGGTTTTGTCCCGTAGATCCGGAAGCCCAACATAAACTTTGGATATGAAGGACGATGGATTCAGTATAAAAGTGAATAATAAATATATAAAAGTGTATGAACTAGCTATTTTTACGTGGAAACCCGGAAATGGAGAAAACTACGAGACTTTTTAGGCTAACGTCCAAGCCCGCTCTTTCTCATTAATATGCACTCATCGCTCATTTACATAATACAAAAGTAGAACTCCATTAATGGAGGTGAAGAAACTTGCTAATTTATCAAAGGGGAAGAAGAAGACTCCACTGGGAGATAAGAGCCAAAGCAAAAAAGCCAAAAGATCCACAATCTGGAAGCCAAGCTTCCTATTTATAGGCAAGGGGGAGGGTTCCCTATTCTTCTGGGCCAGAAAGGCCGGTTGGGCCTTAAATGGGCCTCGCCGATTGGGCCCCGTTCCGGGACGGTGTATTGGGCCTCTGAACAGTAGTAGGCCGGGGTAACAAACCCCAACAACCTCATTTAAATTTAAGTTTTAATTAAAAACGCGCCTCAACAATGCAAATCTTTTTGTTTAAATATTTCTCGTGATTCAAATCTTGTGCACTAGAATGTAACTCGCGTTAGTACGAATGTAATCTATAAATCTCATATTATCATTTATCACCTCTTCTAGGGTACTTTCTCTCACCTCCCATTTATAAATCATAAATGTAAATTGCGTGTATATAAAATGTAACTTGAGATAAATTGAAATGTATATCCATATATGCAAAATGTAACTCAAGAGTCAAGACAAATCGAAATGTAAATCACGTGTATGCAATAATGTTAATTCGAGGCAAGTTAAAGTGTAAACCGCCTTAATTAAAACTTAACTTAAGACAAGTCAAAATGTAAATCACATTAATGGAAATATAAATCTAGGCAAACTGAAATACAAATCACGTTAAGAAAAAAGAACCTAAGACAAGTCAAAAAGTCCAGACAATTTAGTGAGTCGTTTTTCTTTATTTTATCAAAAGGTGCAGAAGAAGTAGACACACTTCAATTAAAAGGAAAGTCAGAAAACATTACAAGTTTACAACCACTACGATCAAATATTTCATCAGTGGGTTAATCCACAAGGAGACTAGAGGTACACATAAAACGTAGGCGAGCCCGAAACATGTTTAAGCCTAGAGTGCCACAAATACAATTCATAAAAAGAAATTGTGAAATGAAAAGTAGACAAGTTGACATGCATAGTTGTTGCATGAGACCTTTCCCTTCCTACAGCTTGTCTCAATCATTCTCTTGGAGTTTAGATCTTGAACACAACAAGAATCATGAAATAGACCAACAAAACATCTAAGGTCACATATTTGACCAACAGAAACAAGATTTATACTACATTTGTCCCTTATAACTTTGCCAATTTTCCATTTTTGGTTGTCCCACTAACTTTGACATTTTTCTTTTTAAGTAAAGAACTTGTGGTTCCAGTTAATTCTCTCCTTTACATAAACCTCAGTCACACAGTTTTTACTTTATTAATCTCCGCGGCAGTCAAACTTGACAAAGTTTTAAGGGACGGAGATAGTATGTAATTTAAGAATACAATACATATCAGATAGAGATATAATGGGGCTATGAACCGTCCCAATGCTAGTTATGGGCATAGGCTGATCAAAGTAACAAAACATATCGCAGACCTATATCTCCTCATCATATTCCGATTCTATGGGAACATCTTCATCTAGTTCAATGTCATTCTGAATTATGGAACCCAAATAACGGAACATATGACTGATCAATATCTCCTCATAATATAGGGCAATCACTCTACTACCACTGTTTCTACCTCCACCAAGCTGACCATTACATAACTCCAATATCCAAAATTCTTCCTATCAAGGTGAACACGAATTGATCGCAATAAGTCATCATCACCAGCCATTACACACATAAAATTAAGCATGAACATAAAAGAAGCAGAAGCAGCAAAAAAAAAAAAAACTGATTAGCGCTCCAAACCCTCTGCAACCCCCATCAAACTTACCATGGAGTTGGATCGTGATGGAGTTGGCTTTTAAACTTTTTTGTACACATTGAGTGTGAGACGTGAGTTGGGCACTGGACCTCACTCAAATAAGAGTGGTAATCCGTGTGTTCATTATTGGCTTATTAGCTATTCATGTGTTGTCATGGTCCTCACCACCCATCATTGCCCATTTTCATCCGTAATCATTCTTTCATATCACACCTCTTTCTCGAAATAAAAGTATTATTATCTTCATTAATGTCAATGCATTGTCCTTAATAATTTTTATTTGACGGTGCTCGAATCTTCCTCGTTTGTAGTATATGCATCTCATTTTGGTTGATTACTCGAAATTGAAAGATAGAACTTCTTAGTGCACAAAAGGGAAAACCATTTCTCATTTTGAACAGATAGAGATTGAGGAGAATTGGAGAAGCAAAGGACTTTGCAAGTGAGCATGAGGATGATTTGAGTTAATATTCTCTGGATCCATCCACCACTCCTCACATTTGTCCAATTGTCCTCTCTCTTATCCGAACTCAAATTCTACCCAAGAGACACCATTGAATTTTATGTCTGAATAACATCACATGTCAATCAACCAGCCCACAAGCTCGGATAAAGGCAAAGAATGCCTCTTCTAACTTTAGGCCTGAGAGAAGAAATGAAAAAAAATTCTTGGCATGAAAGAATGAATGGAGGAGTAGGAGAGAGGAAGGTGAAAGTAAGGGTTGGATCAAGGTGGCAGACTCATAAAAATGGAGTCATAGGTTCCCTAATGTAACTCCAGTTAGTATAAAAATGATAAAAAATAATATCAAACAAAATATTAAAGAAGCATAACGTTTCATAGTTTATGTACATTCTACCATTAAAGAAGCATAACGTTTCAAAAAAATTAATTAAGCCCCCTATTGAAAGTACATCTAATCAAACCCTCGAACTCGTTTAAAATAGGCAAGTTCTCTTTTAACCGGTATCAAACAAGTAGCCGGTTACTTTGTACACGTGGCGACACACATGACAGTTTTTTTCATTTTCTTTTCATTTTTTTTCTTTTCTCTTTCTCCTTTCCCCCTTTTCCTCCACCTTCTTCTTCGCGTTTTTCCTTCCCGTTCCAGCAATGGTCTTCACCACCCTCTTCCATCTTCTTTCACTCACCCTTTCTTCTCCCACCCATCAATCCCAACCAACATCGGACTCTACAACAAGCAGCGAATCCAACTCTAAGATCCGCCGCAAGAGGAATCTTCCTTTATTCACCCAATTGTTTAGCTCCGGGAGCTGTTTGTGGAATATCCGACGCTGTTACCTGACTCGGCGGAAAGTAGCGACTAGGGCAGGCCGTTCCTTTATTCTCCCTTATTTGTTTTCGAGGGTACCAGCAGTCGAGGACCCCTCACTCCGTAGCTTCAATTCCTCTGTAGAAGAGGAGTAGGCGGAGGAAGAATTGCGGGGGTGAAGTGAGGTCGGGAAACTACGAGCAGAGAACTAGAGGGAAGAAAGAAAAGAAAGGAGGAGCAGGAAAGAAAGAAGTCGCAGGTGCAGAGGCGTATGGAAGAAGAAGGCGCGAGAAAGAAAGAAATAGAAAAAAGGAAAAAGTGCCCCATCACACGCCGTTGGACCGAGAATTCGGAATATACCCGGTTAAAAAGAGATTTTTTTTGAAAGGGTTAAAAAGAGAATTTGATTGGTTTTTAATTGTTTGGGGGTTTGATTGGACACACTTTTAATAGAGGGGTCAATTGATTTTTTTTGAAAAGTTGGGGGCTAATTTGGTAGTTTTCCCAAAATTCTTTTGCTCATGGCAACCTTAAACGAAATTACCGGAGTGGAAGAATTTTCAACAGTAGAAACATTTTGATGCTCGCTTGTACCTTCAGTTTGCACACTAATAATAACAAGAGTAGCAGGTCCAAAGAGAGAATGCAAAGTGATTTTGGTTTCTCCATAGGAGGCTGTTGTGTAGACATAATTTCTTCTATCAAATCAAAATATTGTTTAAAAATCATTACAAAATACTTGATGATATTAAAGTAAATAGCAATTTTGTAAAAAGATAGTAAATTTTGTATTCACAACTCAGAGTACACTGGGCCAAGGCCCAGTAAGGCCCCCTCCTCCGCCCTTGAGATCAGACCAGAATAAAGAATTCATTCAAGTTAAAAACATTCGAATATTAAAACGGCCACGATGTAAGAATTCTACGATACCCAAAAAGTACCACACATTTATCCACATGTAAAATCAAAATAATGTAGTTGAGTGATTTAAATGGCCAGTCCCCTTTTTGCGCGAAAGAGATTTGTAATCAAACTCCATGGATTCGATCTATCTATCGATCAATATTATATTTTTTTTTGAATGAATTCGGCTTTATTAATAACCGATAATTTTCAGAGTATGGGTCAAAAGACAGAAAGAAATCTGACAACCGTTGTCCCTTGAACCAGACTCGGAATTAATCGCCGCAGCAATAAAATTCGATGATCCATAATTGGGAAACAAACAGCCAGAAACGGTCACTCTATTCCTCTCAATCCCCATATCCAAAATCAACGTCTTACAAACAAGAACAATAAAGAAAAAGCAAATAACAAAACGGGCATAAAAATTATTGGAAAAACAAACGAGACAAATAAAATAAATCTTCTTCATAACCCTAGATTTGCTTGCCTTCCATGGTGGCGGCTCGGGAGGGGGACGCATCCGTCGCTCATCCACCATAACCTCAATATCAGCTTCATCTAGATCCAGTTCTTCTTCCCCTGCCCCATTCGTCATCCTCTTGTATTTGTCCACGAAGCTATCCATGCAAAGCTGTTGCTCTAACCTTCTGCCAGAAACTCCGACCCTGCTCATTGTCGAGACCGAACACCTCAGACACAATTAAAGCAATCAACCAAGACAGATCCCAAAACGATTAGGTAGATGAACCCAATCCTAAAGAAGAAACAAAAACACGATAGTGGCTGGACAAACGCCCCTAGGCAAACCCTAGGAGGCGGCCCTCTGGAGCTCTCGAAGAGCGGCTCTGTCGATCTATATTATATTATCAGAGTTAAACTTGCGAAAAGGCGTTAATCGTATTATTATTATTATTATTGTAAATTGTGAATAAATATATGGATGCTTGCGCTACATCGGCGGCGTGTTGCCGGAGGCCTCTCGCCTTTAGCCGGCAGAAGATCCTCTCGTCTGCGAGGCGCTGCAACATCAGGTTCGAAGACGAGACCCACTTGGGTTACTATTCCTCCGGTGGCCGGAGTATCAGATCTGATGCCGCCGTCAAGCTCAAAAAGAAGAATTTTCTGTCTTCGATTGGATTCGGCTTGGACTTTGCAGAATCACTCCACCAACAACAAACTACTATTTCGGTAACGTTATTTCGATTTAGCTTTCAAACCCTAATTTGAGGACTGGAATAAGTATAAGTTATGAAAAAGTAGTGATCCGCAATAGCCTTCTTTCATTTTTTGGGGCCATCCGACTACTTATAAAGGATTCAAAACAAAAGGCATGTTCCCCTCCTAATTAAACTCAGGGCCAATGCCAATGCAACCAATCCAACTTAGACTCAAGAATGTGATTAATTAGTCAATGTTTTTAAATTCTAATTATTTGATTTGTTGATTTTCTGGCAGGGAGGTGCAGAAACCATGCTCTCCCATCTCAAAAAACTAAAAGCAACGGGTAAACAAAAAGAAAGGCGCGGAGGGTATGATTCATCAAGCTCTTCATCATCTGAATCAAGCGATAGTGAGTGCGAGGGTATAGACAACATGAACAGAAGGAAGTGCGACAATGCAATCGTCCAACGCTTTACTACTCCTGAGTCCAAACCTGTTGTGGTATTAGATTCACAGCAGCCAATGCTGCTTCCCGTTTCAATCCACCCTCTCTCCAATCCTATCAATGATGAAAGCCCGAGTTGTTCTGAAATGGGAAGTCGGACCATGAAGTTATTTGAGGTATGCATGGGTGGAAAGTGCAAGAAATCAGGGGCGCAGGCTATACTGGAGGAACTTCAAAATGCAGTTGTAGGGGTACCAGACGTGTCAGTTTGTGGATGCAAGTGCATGGGGAAATGTAAAGTTGGGCCCAATGTGAGGCTTTCGAGCACCGCCGTTTGCCATGACGTGTTGCATGACAACAACAATAATAATAATGGCGGCCTAGCGAGGTCTGTGTATCAAAGTGTTGGTATCCAGGATGTGAGTTTGATGGCTTCCAATTTCTTGGAGAGGAAGGGCGAGGGTCAAGGCCTTGCTGTTGCATCTTGATTTTTATTTACTCGTTAGGTTTCATCCTCCCTACTGTGGTGTATCATATACAGTTTATTTTATAGTGTCGTCTAAGGTTGCATCGGTAAGTTTTTGTATATCCATGGAACAATGTTCTTCTTGTGGTGTTGCTTTATGCTCCAACCTCTTGGACAGAAACTTTCTTGGACTCTTTCCTTGACAAGTTCAGATTCTCTGGCATTCTCTTAGTTCATCTCCGCTCACATATACTTGCTTTTTTCTTATGCTGTCAATAAATAAGGTTTCTATTTTGATGTTCACAGACTCGCAAGTCTTGCCTTGTTTCTCTTGTATTGCCCTGCCTTGCGTTGGGTTGTCTTGTGTTGTCTTAAACATAAAGACAAAAGTATTACGTATGAGTTTGCAATTGACAAATTTAGGCCCAAACTTCTATTCGGCCAAAAAAGGTACCGAACTAATAGTGAAAAGACTGAAACGGCCCATTCCAAAAAACCTAGCACGAAGAAGTCCATGTCTCTCTCGTCTCTTTTGCATAGCACTAGTCGCCGCCGTGAACAATACCCCCTCCCGGACGTCGACACCATCAACTGGTCGCCGCCTCCTCGGTTTGCTCCTTCGTCTCCATCGTTGACCAGCTTTGTCGTTCATGTTCGTTTCTTCCTCTTCTCCTTCCATTCATACAGTTGGAGATGGTGAATCAGAAACGACGATGGAGATCCAAACAGAAATCTCTAGACGGCGGACGTTATCTATCTATGTGAGCAAGTGGCGGTGGCGCACGACTGTGGCGATTGCGACCAGACGGCGCATCGATTGGCTATGGTTTCATTTCTATGGCTGTAGTGGCGATAAGATGCTACGATTTGCGGGGGAGGGGTTGGGTCAGCGTGGGGCGCCACCGGCGATGGTCGTGGTGGCAACAACGGAGCTGGAGTTGATTTTGTGGCTGGGGATGTGGCTAGGGAGTCTATGTCGGGTGGGGCTGTGGTCGGTGGCGGTGGCCGGCAGTGGCCGACGCTGACTGGCGGTTTCTGGAGGTGGACGGCGGGTGGCCAGAGGTGGCTGGCGGTGGCTAGGAGTATTGGCGGCTTGCGGTGGTCACTGGTCACTATCAAATCGGGAAATTGTAATTGGTATATCCGGATAATTGTAACTTGACGAGTCAGGTAGTTGTAACTGGACGGGTCGGATAACTGTAACTGGACGGGTCAACAATTAAATACTAAAATATGAATTTTTATCAAATTTGATTCAGGTTTTTGCAACTTTGTAAAGATTTTAATGTAGTTTTTGAATATGTATTTTTTTTGCTAAAAATAATTTGGATGCAAACAAGGATCCATTTCCTTTATCATTAGTCAAGCATTGTAAAGCACAACAGAAACATCAAATTGGGACGGAGGGAGTACTTGATTTTGAAAATTAATTACTTCCTAATTAACCTTCCTTTTTCTGAGACCTAAAATATTAAAGTTATGTAATATGCATTATATATTGATAACAGTGTGTATAGTTATGTTAGAACTTTGTAGTATTAAGTTTTTATTAAGAACTCATTTCAGGTAGAAATGTCTGCATACTAAGGTTTCGAGATGTGCGTATTAAGGTTGATGGATGTGCATATTAAGGGTACATGATGCACATTATATATTTATAATGTCTCCATAACTTATATTAAAACTATATAGTAATAAAATATGTGGGTGCTGCATTTTAGTAGCTCATATGTTGCATTTTATCCTTATGATATGTGCATAATAGAAGTTTGTATATGGCATTTTAGTAAGGTGACATATGCATTGTATGTCACGCCCCAGACCGCATCCGAGCGCGTGTACAACCGCCGTATGACTAAATGGCGTCACTCGCAAGTCAACGTGACTTAATCATACAAGGCGTCCATGAACATTGTTCATACCATACTCAGTAAGTAAACATACATAACAACATCACATATTTGGATTGAATGAATCGCGGAAATATTCAATATTCAATCATGGGCCGCATATGGCCAAAACGTGGACTCGCAGGCCCAAAACAAATGTACTTATTACAAATTATCCATGAGCATAGTTTATAGTTTAAAACAGTAAAGGAAGCACGAACCACGTCTCCCTTTAGATTAATTCACCGAGCAAGGTGAGAATGCAAGCTTGAGCTTCAACCTGAAATGGTGGGCCCCCCGAAGGGGTCAGTGCAAGTACCGAGCGAGTAGCAGGCTAAATGTAGAATAACTAACGTTTCAAGTATAAGACCCAAACATAGGGTGATACATATACATATAGTTCTTTCCCCCAAGTTATGAAATATATATCATTATATATATACTTGGAAATACCCGA